ATGACGACCGCTAACAGAGCCACCCCTCGGTCCCCAGGACGTACACCGCCGTTTATTTTAGTTGGCTTATTGGTGATTCTTGGCTTTTTGGCGTTCAGTTACTGGCGCCTTTCCAGTACCAACAGCCAGTTGTCTGCTGAGTTAGAAAGTCTCGAGATCCAAAAGAAAGAAATCGACAAGAAGAACGCAGATGTTGAAAAAAATATAGAAAGTGCAAACGAAGAATTGCGTTCAACACAAGGTAAACTTGAACAGCTACGAAAATCTGCTGAGGATAAGGATGCTGAAATTAAAAACCTGAAGGCGGATTTGAGTTCTAAACAAGCTGATATAGATAAAACGAAGAATCTTTTGGTAAGAATCAGTACAAATAGTACATACTAAATCATATTCAGAATATTTTATCGTTTTAAATGATTTATATTATTTCATATAATTTTTTATAATGATAATAATAGTAATTATTGTACCTTTGTGTTAAGTAGCTATTTCAGGACCAGTCAACTAGGTTTTCACAGGGCCAAAAATTTTGAAGATGAGAGGAAAGACAGAATACGAAATCATGAAATCAGACGAATGCTAGGAATAAAGCCAGTCTTACAGGTCGTCTAAGAACAACATATGAAGTGGTTTTGACACCTAACAAGAATGCCCTGGTTCTATACACCACAGCGAGCCACACTAAAACATTACAACGGGTATAGAGCGAGTGGAAGACCTCGGAAAATATGGAGTGATGGCATTAAGAACAGCCTTACAGAAATGAACATCAGTCTTAATAGTGCTTTTGACAGAGCTCATCAACGAACATAACACTTCGATGAGGTAAAAGGTGGAAGAAAAGAAGAATGTATTCAGTTATTTGGTTATCCTCCGAATAACGGTCCCAAATTATCGAGGCCGAAAATATATCATAACGGGGCCTCAGTCACATGTCAATTGCGGACTTCCGCCACCGCCCCGAGAGTATCTTCCCCGCCGATACACACAGCGGGGATTGGGGCTAAACTAGATGGCTGGGACTCATGAGTAGTGCACTTAGGTTAATCTGGGATGATTAGTCAGGCTGGGTTCTCTTAAATTAACCATTCTAATGTTCGGCTTGAGATTGTCCCGTTCTCTTCGCATCTCCTGCAGCTTCCTTAATTTTATTTGCCTATGAGTCCCAGCCATCTAGCCCCAATCCACACCGCGCATAGTGTTGTGGGGAGATACTCTTGGCAGTGGCGATATAGTCCCCGGAAGTCCTCAATTGACATGTGTCTAAGGCCCTGTTAGGGTATATTTTCGGCCTCGGTAATTTGAGACCGTTATTTAGAGGATAGTCAGTTATTTTAACATAATAACTGAGAGAGATGGATGAAGAAAGCGTGAGAAGATTCTTGACAGCTTACTGTCATGACATGGAGGGGTGTCACACGCAAACCAAAATATGCATTAGAGGATTGTGGAGAAGCATGTTGGACCACACCATTCAGCAAGGCACATGATTTATATATAAAAGACGAATAAAAGGAGTTGTTGAAATACACAAAAGATAGGTTGAATATTTTGGGGTAATTTCATATATATATATATATATTTTTATTTTTTTATTTTATTGTTTCTGCCATCATCTGTTATTAAATGTCCAGTATAGGAGAGACTTGTTGCTTTTTCTAGTTTTGTGTGTGTTTTAGTATCTTGCTATTTATTTTGATGCATGTCTATCTGTTACTAATCCCTGAGAAGACCTTTAACTGGCATTTCTACATTGGCTAGTCCTCATGAAGCCTAGTTAATAGCATTAGTTCTGTTTGCGCTTGCACATTGTTTAGGAGGGCTGGAGTATTATTTTTTTTTTTTTTTTCAAAAGCATAGAGGATAGATGATGTTTACTATTAAAAAAGAAGAATCTGTTTTTTTTTTTTTTTTTTAATATGAGCAAGTGATAGTTCTCTTATAACCTTAAGTAATTAGGGTCATACTGTATCATTGTATGAATTCTCTTTTAGGCCCAAATGGATGTAGTCATGGAAAATCCCCTCAGTTCCTATTTGTTGATTACTTTTCTTCATTTATTTCTTTAAACATGCTCTGTGTGTGTGTGTGAGCGAGAGAGAGAGAGAGAGACGAAGGGAGGGAGGGAGAGAGAGATAATTTTTTATTTTTCATTTTATTCATTAAGGGACATGTGTAAATTTGTTTGTTTAAAGGATGCATTCCTGGGTTCATGGCTTCCCCCTTTCCCCCCCCCCCCCCCCAAAGACTTTCTGGAGAAAAACATAAGCTAGTGCTTCTGATGCACACAACTTAGGCCTTTTATTCCAAGTTGAATCATAGGCCCTCAGTTAGCTTATTCCAGACTTTATCTCTTTCGCCGTATGGTGCAGCTACACCATGTCATCCATGTTTCCTCCCCCACCCCACGCCATGCCACCTATTTTTTTTCTGTTTTGCTTTTCTATGTCTTCTGCCCTGTGTGTTCCCTCAATCACTCACATGCCATCTACACAGTGAAGGTTGCCTGCAATGGTTCTCTGACATTCTTGTTTTGGTAGTACACGTTTTCACACTGCTGTTCATCCATCTCTTAATGTTTCTCTCACTTGTATCATTGGCTGCCTCATTTTCGTTTGTCTTTGACTTTTCTCCACATTGGGTTCCAGTGCAAGGGCATTCTAGTTAAAATAGTATTGGGTTTGTTTTCTGTGTCCTGTTCAGCAGTAGTTTCTTTTCCCCATCACTGGTCAGTCAGTAGCATGTCCTTTGCAGAACCTTGCTCCCACAACAAGCTTCCAGAAAACTCCTTGATGACAAGTAAGATGTCCCACATCCGATACACCTATCTGGAGATCATCCGCCACATCTTGCCCCCGTCTTTTCTTTGGCCTTCCTCTTCCTCTATTCCCAGGCATGTACCACTCCATTATGGTGCTCTCCAAACTTTCATGACATTTCAAATGATCAAAATATTTCAGTTTTGTTTTTTGTTTTTAATCATCTTTAAAAGCCAACCTTCTTCATTATTCAGTTCTTGGAGTATGGATGCATGTGTTATTTTCTTTAATCATGATATTTTTAGAAGCTGTCTATAACATTTGTATTTAAAGGCATTTATGTGCTGTTCAGACTGTTTAGTAAGTGTCCGGGTCTCACAGGCGTATGTTGCAATGGGAAAGATGCATGCTCTTAGAAGTCTAATTTTTGTAGTTCTGTCTGTCTCGCTCCATAATTTATTCAGTTGTTTTTGTCTTTGAAGAGCAGTTGATAGTTGTCATTTAATTTCTTTCATCGTGTCACCATTGTTGGTAATCAATAAACCAGGATATTCAAAATTGTCCACAACCTCCAGTCTTTCCTCGTTGACACATGTTTTTCTCAATGCTAGTTTTGTCTGTATGCATTATCTTTGTTTTTGCTATGTTAAAATATAAGCTGTGATATTCACTATTTCTTTGGGTTGAGGTTGTAACATTTTTAATCAGCAGTTTCTTTGCCTCACCACTGGACTTATTGAAATGTAAATTCTCTCTCTCTCAAAGCTGTGTAAATATGATTATGCCGTACCATTTAATCCCTTCTATTCTGTGCCGGCACCAATTACTGAATGTTTATTGGTAATTGAGTTTTCTCTTTGGTCTGCACTATACAGGATAATGTAGTGTAAGAGAAAGAGTAAAAAGTACATTTTATGTGTATATATGTGTTCTTGCATGTGTGTTAATTCTCTAGGAATTTCCTTCTTTTGACAAATAAGAAATGTGCACACATACACATGCACACAAAACAGAGGAGCTTTGTTAATAAATTTGCCTGCAGCAAATATTGCTTTAGGTCTCTATCTTTCAAATTTTTTTTCCTACCTGTAGATTCAGTGCATTAAAAATAGCACTGCTTCTCCATGTTGAAATAAGTCTGTGGTTTCGCATGACTGCTGAAGTGTGACAGTGTTGCCTGTGTCACACACACTTTTGAACATTTCTTTTAGTAGAAATGATACCTGAAGTTTAAATGGTATAAACATAGCAGTACAGAAGGCAAGAGGAGATTTCATAGCTGTAGGAAATCTTAGGAAATTAAAACTGGTACTTAATATTTTTTTGCTCTTGTGTCTTCTGTCGTATAGAGCTGAAATATTGAGAACAACTTAAACAGTTAATAATAAACTAGAAAATTGCATTAACTGGTGCCTGTATGAAATATAGGGTTTTAAATAACAGGATAGAATCAGTAATGTAGAGAACTACATAAATTGCACTGAATCAAGAGACTGGTATTTGATAGGACATATATTGAGAAAATCTGTTAACAAGATAACTAGAATGTCCTCGTTCTGAAGTCCAGTTTCAGCGGAATCAATGTAGGAAAAAACATGTGGAGAAGAGAATTAGACTGAGGTAAAAAGATGAGAAGGTATGAGTAGCAAATTAATATGCAGATTATGTGCTCTGGATGGTAACAAAAAAGTGCTACAGTAATCTGTGGCCAGGTTTGATTTGATCTCTCATATAATCAAGACATGAAAATCTCAGTTATAAAATACCTTATCTGGAATGAATTATTAAGAGATGGAGATAGTAACATAATTTAGGTTTCCAAGATTTGTAATAAGTGTTAGGAAATAAAGGAAACAGGGTGGATCCAAGATGAAAAAGTTAAAAGTAAACACTGGCTTCACATCTATTACACAATGTGGCTTATCTTCTTGTTTTGCTTTTCTATCCCCCAATGGAGCATAGGCCCTCAACCAACTCAAGCCAAGTCATTCTATCTTTCGCCATTACATGGAGCTCTTCCCATTTCTTCCCCTTCTTTCTAACTTCTCCAGCTCTCTTCTCTGGCCTTCCTTTATTCCTTTGCCCCTGTGGGTTCCAATGCAAAGACATTCTAGATATGCTGCTCTCCTGTTTTCTCAGTGTGTGTCCTATCCAACGCCAGTGTCTTTACCTCACCTCTTGGTCCACTGGGGCCTGGTTAGTTCTCTCCCAAAGCTCTACATTAGTTATTCTATCATACCATTTAATTCCCTCTATTCTGCGCAGGCACCAGTTAATGAATGTCTGTAATTTATTAGTAGTTGCCTTGGTTGTTCTCCATGTTTCCGCCCCATATAAAAATACTGATTTGACATATGAATTAAAAACCTTAAGTTTAGTATTTCTCTTAATTTCTTTTGACCTCCACAAATTCCCTAGTGATATGAATGCTCGTCTTGCCTTTTGTATTCTTACTTGAATATCTCTATCAGTTCCTCCATCTTTATCTACATTACTGCCTAGATAGGTGTACAACTCCACGTCTTGCAGTGGGGTGCCATTAAGGGAAATCACATTACTATTTGCCTGATTCTCATTATCTTTGTCTTTCCTTTATGGATTTTCAGACCAAGCTGCTGTGATTCTGCATCAAGTATATTTATCTTGCATCTGATTCCGTGAATGGGACAGAAGAGAAATCAGCGAAGTCCAGATCATCAAGTGGTTTTTGTAGGGTCCACTGAATTCCATTCTTGGTGTTAGCAGTTACTGTTTTCATAATCCAGTCTATAGCCAGTAAATATAGGAGAGGCGACAAAAGACATCCCTGTCGCACACCTGTTTTTATTTCAAATATATCTGTTAGCTTTTCCTTATGAAGAACTCAAGATCTCATGTCTTTATATGTTGCCTTTACTAAGTTAATAATTTTCTGTGGGATTCCATAGTGCCCCACCAATTTTCAGAGAGATTTCCTATAAATTCTGTCAAATGCTTTTCCATAGTCTATAAATCCAATGTAAAGTGGTGAGTTCAGTTCAATGCTTTGCTCTATTATAATACGTAATGTGGCTATCTGGTCAGTACAGGATCTGTTTGGCGGAAAACCTGCCTGTTCATCTCTTAGCTTTTTATCAGTAGCATCTTTTAATCTTTCCAAAATAATTCTACTTATTATTTTTCCAGGAACTGACAGCAACATAATTCCTCTATAGTTTTTACACTCCTGTAGATCACCATCTTTGGGCAGTTTCACAAGATATCCTTCTCTCCAGTCTGCTGGTATTTCTTCAGTCTCCCAAACTTTACTGAATAATCTATGTAACAATTCTGTTGATGTGTTCATGTTGGCCTAATGGCTTCAGCTTGGAAACCATCTGGACCTGCTACCTTTCCTTCCTTGAGAAGATTGATAGCTTTTCTAATTTCCTCTTTAAATGGTATCTCACAGCTGATATCCAGTTCCATTTCTAAAGGCTGGATATTTGCGGACACCTCTGGAGCCTGGTCTATATAGAATCATTTCTAAATATTCAACCCATCTGTCCATTTTATCTTTAGTGTTAGTAAGTACCTTTCCTTGACTATTTTTGATTGATCCAATTGGCTGACTAAATTTACCTACTAATTTTCTTGTGTTACTGTAAAGTTCTCTGAGGTTTTCTTTTGCTTCTGCTGTCTCTGCTTCTTGTTGCTGCTGTCTCTGCTTCTTGTGCTAGCTCATTGAGATATTTCACTTTATTTGCCCTTATATGCCTCCTAACTTCCCTATTGGCTTCTGTGTATTTATCCTGAGCTCTGTCTTTAGCAGCTCTAGTTTTGCTATAGTTAAAGTCTGCCTTTTTACTTTTTCTTTCTTCAATCAATTTAATGGTTTTTGGTTTATCCACGGTTCATGTTTCCATTCTTTCTTGCCAAGGACTTCTACACAAGATTCATTCCAGATTCCTTTGATCTGATCCCAGCAGACTTCAGTGCTGATATCTTTAGCTAACGGCTGGTTAACACCTGGTATTTATTAGAGACTGTAACTGAAAATTGTTTCTTAAAATCTTTATCCCTGAGATAACCTACATTATACTGGTTTATATGATTATAAGATGTTATATATCTTTTAAGTCTCAACTTGATTTTACTTACCACCAGGAAATGGTCAGTAAATACATCGGCACCTCAGAAAGCCCTAACATCGTAAAGGGATGATCTAAACTTTTTTGTTAATACATAGGTGATCAATTTGATTGGTTGTCTCATCATCATCAGGTGCCTTGCCGACTAGCGTGGGCGATCATGCCTCTCCATAATCTGCGATCTCCTGCAGCATGTATCAGTTCGTGTGCCGACACACCTTCATGCCATGCAACAAGACTGTCAAGCATCTTCTCCCGTTTTCTTATGGTCTGGCAGAATAAAGTGTAATCAGGTCTTCTTGTTTTATTCCATTAAGATTTTTTCAGTAGACCCCTTGATATAAATTAACCTTTTAGTTTTATGTTTTGATCAGTATTCTTTGCCTTATTTTCTGTATATTTGTTCTTCTTTCAGAGCCAGTGTGATGCAAGTGTTGCAGAGCAGAAAAGCAGCTTGGAAACACTGAAAAGTAAATTCACTCTTGTAATTTATATATTTAACTGCAGTATTTAGTAAAACCCTGTGAATTCTTTTCTTAAAATTTTGCTGAAAAGTAAAGAGCGCCCAAGCAAGTAAAGTTTGCATCTCAGAAATACAAGGGGGGGGGGGGGGGGGGGGGATAGGAGTAGACGAAGAGCCCGATAAAAAAAGAGGTTGAAAAGATCAAATGCAGGCAGACATGCAAACACTTTGGAGTCACCAACTGAAATGATAAGATTAATCACAAAGTTTGAATGGACACTGGTGCTACCTGCAGCAATAAACCTCAAGGGCTGGATATGCTGGCAAGGTAGCCTTGTAGCAGATACTGCTTTGGGGAGTGTGAGGGGTGTTAGACCTATACTACAACATATGACATGGGGTGGCTAGTTTTCTTCCTGCTCAATTATAGGGGCTCTCTGTGGTGAAGTGTTCAAGCCGTTTGCCTTGCGCTTTTAAGGTCATGGGTTTGTTTCAAGAGTGAAGTTTTTTATGGAGGTTCCTGGTGATCATTGTCAGAGCTGCAGAGTTTGTTCTTTGTGTGGCGCTGTTAGCATGCCGCTAGCCATTCTGCAGTTAAAGAAGAGAGACTGAGCCACATGGGATCAAACCTGCTGCAGTAAAGATGATCCTCTCAACTGTAATCCTTAAACTTTCCCAGACAGCAGAAATTTATGGAAATGATTTGGTACGCATTTTCTGAGGCCAGATCTATTTCAAAGCTGCAGTTATCATTATGTAGCAAGTCCTTTGCAGAACGTCGCTCTCATCACGGTCTGCCTGAAAGAAACTCGGTCTCTCACCAGCTCTCCCGCCTTATGTACTTTCATACTCAGAGAGTCACTTATATCCTATGGCCATCTTTATGTTGGTCGGCACCTGCCCCTCCTTCCGGGTACCATGCCTTCTGCTATAATTCTTTCCAATCCGTCGTAGTGCTTGATATAACCAAAATATTTTGGCTTACAAGATAGGAAGCTGTTTATTAGCCAATCTTCCTTGATGTTCAGATCTTTCAAGATGTCAGTATTTCTCCTCTTCTTTGTCCAAGATATTCTGAGTATCTTTCTATAGCTCATTTCAGCTCAAAAGTCCCTATTGTCTTTTTTAAGGACTAAGAGATAGTCCATGGCTCACATCCATATGTTGCCACAGGGAAGATGCATGCTCTCAGAATTATAATTTTGATCTCCTTGCTGGGGCTTAACCATAGACTTGTAAGGCTTTTCAAAGCTGTAGTAGTCATGAAAAAAAAACTACCTTTTCTAGAGAGTAAGCTAAGATCACTGTTTTTGTTTTGGCAGGCAAACATTTAACCATTATGCCACACCCACCATGACTTCAGTTTATATTTAGAAGCTACTCTTTTATTTATTTTTTATCACAAATACTATGCACATATACTTGTAACATATGCATCAATTTATACATAACAGCTAAAAGCTTGAAATTGATAAAATACAGAGTGGCACCTGCATATTGTAAATAGTAAATGTGCTGCATCACAGGCAGGCTGAACATACGTTATTTTTTAAAAATAAATTCTTTCCATACTTTCAGGGCTCCTGAGAAACACTAGTGACACAGGGGTATCTATTAAAATAGCTACCAGAAACCAAACTATGTGGTCCTTAAATCAAACCATCAGTCCTCAGGACTTGAGGCAAACCTGGCCAAGACCGGGTCCTTAAAAACAAACCATCAGTCCTCAGAACTTGAGGCAAACCTGGCCAAGGAGACCTCCATATTAAATTTTATATGGGAAGAAACCAGGCATGGTTTTCTCTGACAGACATTCCCCTTGTTGTTATCATTCATATTGGTCATGTCCCTTTGTGATATAGATGCCATTGTAGACAAGCATGTTCTTCAGACCCCAATTGTTTTTTTTTTTTTTGGGGGGGGGGGGGGGGGGGGGAACTGTTTCTGTTTTCAGTAGGCAATTTACATTCAGTAATTTGCCATTGCTTCCTGAACACTTGACTCTTGATACCACTGTTTAAACCAACACGCGGTGGTCTGCTTCCAAATCAGCAACAGCTGGAATCAAACACTGCACCATGGAATAATGAAGCCGAAGCCATAAAAGGTGACTAAATAAAGGTTTGCAAAACAATCAAATGCATCGGACTGAACGGTCCAGAAATCACCTGGCCTAGCCTAAACCACAACACAGTGTGCCAACCACCATTTCAAGAGCAGAAAGAGAGACAAGTATGTAACGTTTGTTTAAGGCCAAATGATTTCTGAAAAATTGTCCCTAATGCATGCATCATTTTACTATTCCTAAATCTTTTCTTCTATCAAGATGAGAAAGCAGAGCTGGAGAAACAATTAAATGAGGCAAAACAGAACCACCCTGTTTGTGATATTGCGTAAGTATCCTGTTACTAAATGCAGAATAACATAACATAACACAGACTGTCTCTAATTTTGTAATCTTGGAGTTCTACTTTGGAACACAGCAATGAGGTCAATGTCGTCTGTAAAATGTAAATTACATAGTTATCTTCCACCAATGGATATAGATATTTTATGATTTTCTAGTATTACTCTTTTAATTTGTTGCAAATACAAATTGGAAAGGACAGAGGATCATATGCAACCCTGTCTCACTATCACACTGGTTTTGAAAAATTTGCCTGTGTCGTTTTGAATGCAAAATATGCGTGGTTGAATAGCACTGAAATATTGTTAGTGTTTCCTCTTCTCTCCTTGAATGTTGAAGTGCTTACTGATTACCTTTACAACTAGCATAATTACCTACATATGTTAGTTCCATATTTGCCATATTACTTGCATACATTGATTTTTTACATCTTGAAAAATCACACACATACATACATTGAGATAAAATGATGTCAGTATGATATTGTAATTCCATAATGTCATTATTTTAGTGTCATTTACCTCTTTGCGTTATGTTGTTTTGTTACTTGCTGATAAAGGCTTGCCTCTACAGTGTCTTTTGTTTGTTTAATTTTAAGGCTTTTCTATACTTTGTTCCTTCATTGCTAACATTTTACACAAAATGTGCTCCTTACTTATCCTATGGGGTTAACAATTTCTTGAGTCTTTCAATACCCTTTTAAATGTATTCTGAATCTTAGACGTTTAGTAAACCACCTAAAGAGTCAAGTGAGGGCTCACATATATCTTGGGAAAAGGTGGGGGGGGGGGGGGGGGGGGGTGTGTTACATTGTGAGAAGAAAAAAATGCAATATGTTGTGACAGAAAGATTTATGGAAAGAGAAAGAGTGTGTGTAGACAAGATTCTCAACAGCCTTTTTTCATTGGACAACTCTTCAGCCTACAAATTGATAAATATTGATACCTACTCAGATTTAACAAGACACTTGATACTGATATTCATTGACAATTGTTTTTTGTTCTTTTAGCATCTCTGTTAAATACTAATTGATGAATTTAAAAAAAAAGTGGAAGATGTAAGAGAAGTTGAACAAGCATTAGTATCGATAGTTATAAAGACCAAAGAAGGTAGCATTTGTTGGGCACATCCTGAGAAGAAGCTGACAGAAAAATCACAAAACAGGCACTGAAATTGGAAACAAATTAATTGAGGAAACAGGCATTTTTAAGAGTAACCTGAGACAGATGTTGAGGAGAGAGGCCAAAGGGCTGGGCTAGATTCCATCCATAATGTCAGAAAAATTGCACAGGCAAGAACTGAGTTGAGAAATGGACTGCAAGCCCTCTGTGATGTTTAAATGTCACAAGAGGTTGACTGTTGATAAATATGTGTATAATTCGTAGAGGCAGCCCAAATAATGGTCTGACCTGAGCATACGAAACCGAAAGCAAAACAGAAGAAGGCATATGTGTTGTACATTTGCAGAATTTGTGCTTACATGTACTAATTTATTATTATTATTATGTTGCCGTGCTCACTTTTTCTAAATATAATTTAACAGAGGCTGCACTGCTCCCATCAGGGAAGTCCTGAATGTTGCTGCAAAGTTAGTTGGCTCTGATGCTTTAGGAAAAGTTTTAACTGAAGCTAAATTTGATGCAGGAAAGCTACTGGAAGGGATTCAAGTGTAAGTATTTTTTTTTTAAATACTCTTGTATTCACATCTGGTACTTCCATGCCTAAAAATGGCAAAGTTCAGCTTATAAAAGCAGTTATTCATGGCAATAAATTGAGTGCTGCCATGCTGTTTTGTCACTATTCACTATGGGAGTTTCATAGCCTTATTTTGGGAGAAGTTAAAAAAAATAAATTACTCTACAGGCCCTTGATAAGTATGTCGTAAGGGCGACTAGTTTAGAGTTTACTTATATTGATATTGCAGCCTTGCTGTAAACCACAACACTGTGCCAAACACCCTTTTGAAGGCAATGGAGAAGAAAAAGTTTGTCATTTTACAACAAAAAAGACTGCAGCATATTTCCTGTGTGAGACTGGATCTTATACATCGTCGAGCATGTGGTGCTTAAAAAAAAAGTTAGTAGCTTATCTTTTACTGGATGTTGTAGATCCAACCCCAACATTTCTTGACTGTTTGTGATTTCACTGGCCGCCATCTTTTGTGCCCGTTATTCGGATGATAGCCAAATTGTCTTCTCCTACCTTCTCACTACCATCTTAGTTGGCATTTGATTTTTCTCAGCAGTGTAAAGTGAGGTTACATTTTCATTTTTTTTTTTATTGCTGTTTTCATTTATGTATTTTAGTGTTAAGCTGTGCTTAATTTTTTGTTTATACAACCCCCTTATTGTATAATATGATAATAACGAAAGGATTTATTTTCTTAGGAACAGATTAGTCATTCTTTTTTTAATTCTTGTTGGAAAATTTGTTTAGTATTATTCCCTATTTTATAAGTCCAAGGATCTTGAACAGATTAAGGACATAAATTGAGCTACTACTGTATATTTTTTTTTTTTTTTAGATGATGTTTGTAATTTGTTTTCTTCTTCAGTCCTGCACCTCAGGAAGTTAAAGTAGAGGAGCCAAAAAAGGATGAGCCTCAAAAACAGCAAGCCCAAAATCCTGCCGATGTAAAGCAGCAGAATGCCCCCGTCGGTAAGTTGCTTTGTGTGTGGCCTGTCATAATGATTTTCACAGACATTTTTGATGAATTGCTCCAGCTGACTGATATTTCATTTTTTCCCTCCTGTTGAGTTGTGTGCCAGTTGTTAACCAAACCACCCGAGCTCACTCTTTTTGACTGATAATTCAGAAATCACACCAGTTGACTGATATTCTAGAGCTTCTGTGTTTGGTTTTCAGGCAACCAAGATGGGAGCATTCTTTTGTTAGTGTGAAGTCATTAATCCTTTTGTGGACTTGTTTAGTGTTTTGAGTACTGTTTTGTTTTTCAGTTTCCTTCAAACCACTTTTCCCTTTGCCTCTATAATTTTCAGTTGTTTCCTCTTCTTGTAGTCTCTTCAAGTTTTTTTAGTTGGTTTTGAACCTCCCATTTTTCCCCGAGAAGTTTTAAAATGTCTTCATTGAGAAGTTTTCTGCTGCTCAACCTCTTCAGTTTAGGGAAAGGATCCACAAGAGCGCAACATTAGCTCTACCTCTTTGGTCGTTCTTTTTTAGAGAAATAGAGACAGACAGATACAAAATACTAAGGAAAGGGGGGGGGGGTGAGGAGGAGGGTTTGTGTGTGTGTGCACGCATGCATGCTTGTCTTTGGAAGATTCCAAATGCATTTCCTAGATTATTTTCACTTCCAGAAACTTCTTTTAGTTTCGATGAACACACGTTGAACCACACTGAGAGGTATTAGATGACTGAATTGTTGGGAAGATGAAAGCTCATTAGAAATGTACATATAAGTATGTGATTGTGTGCATAAAATGAATAATGGAAAACAAGATAGAGGCAGGTAAGAGAGTGATATCTTTTGTTGTGGCATGGAAAGGTGTCAACACACAAACAGACGGTCTCCTCAGCTTTAGACATAGCTTCATTCCAACTAACAGGCCGAATTTACATTTTTCAAACAGGTTATAAAAATTGTACATAAGACACAGAAATGCAGTTAATGTATATATATTTGTTGTACATAATGTGAAAAATAGATGTGTACTCTGTTGCCTCAGCTCCTGGAACTTGTTGACCCTAGCAGGGTAATTTTGTCTTTTTTTGTTTACAATTTTGTTTTTTGTATGTCCTCATAAGTCAGATAGCCGCATCACCCACTGAGTGCCGATCGATTTATAAAATATAGGTCTAGCCCTATATGCCCAGTAGGTCTGAAGGTATGGAAAAGGGTTCTTTACTTTTATGTCAGGGATAAGGTGTTTTCTACCACAACAGTGGAATGATGATATAATTTTCAAACTGCCCAACAAATTTGATTTGTCTTTTTGTAATAACTGTCTTAGAAGAATACTGAATCTCCACTGGACAGATCTAAGATCCAATACACAAATAAGACAAGAGACCAAGCAAGAAAATGTATCAAATTTTATAAGAAAGCGCCGCTGGAATTACATAGGCCATGTGCTAGAATGGATAAGACAGGACTCCCCCATTAAGCCCTCATTTGGACACCAGATGGGAAAATAAAACGGGGAAGACCAAGAGAGACCCTGCGTAGAACCATCATCAGGAAAGGCTCCACTATGAGCCTGATAAACATCCAAGACCTAAATCAGGTGGCAACGAACCACCAGACATGGAAAGCTATGACCTCTACCCTATGCCTTGCCTTAGGCTCAAGAGGAGAGAGTAACTAATAAGGTGTATGTTTGGGTAACCTGTTCAAGAATCATTGTCACCCACACCAGTCGACAAGGATTTGCTGATATGATATCATGATCTCTGTTCTCTCTGAAGTTTGAACTCGCCCTGCCTGTTTAAGGAAACCCTCTGCGGCCCCTCACATTTTCTTGTAAATTTTTTCTTGTTTCCAGTATAACCCTTTTGTATGTGTGTCTCTTAACTTGTGAAATTATTAGCCAGTAACCCTCACTTCAGTTAAAATGCACTCATAAATTCATTGATTACTTCAGAGAAGCATTTTTCATAACACCCTTAATAAGCGTGTGCTTGCCACAACCTTTGATTAACATTGTTTCTTTTGCCTGTATTATGTTAGCTGTGACATGTTTTCCTAAATACTGCTTGTTTTGGCTTCAGAATTTAAAATAACCTTTTCTTATCAGAGTAACCACTTTCCCAGAAGTAAAACTCTAAACAAAATGTATGGTACCTGTTTTACAAATATGGTAAGCTGTTCTTAAATCCCTTAAAACCCCTGTCAAATGTATTGGTCGGTGATTGAAACCAGTAAATATGCATTTGACCAAAAGTTGTGTTTAAAAATATTGTCTAGGTAATGTTTAGTTTTCCTTACAAAACATGCTGTATTTAACTGTGCTGTTAATATCGGTCACAATTAAATTGGTGTCCTCATATTAAGAACATAAATTGTATTGTCGCTGTTGGAACACTGAGGTACTGAATTCTCGATGCCAACTTCTTCAGTAGGGACTATGAAAGATGGAGGGGTTTTACTTCTTTTCTCCATCTGTGGGTTATGGGGCCCCATTTTAGAGGCAGGTGGGAGCTTCTGTTCCTTAACGAGCATCTCATAAAAGGTGATTAATAAAGGGTTTTCTGAAATCAGATGTGGTGATGTGTGCCAATATGTACAGATATCACAGCCTCACTGTAAACCACAACAGAATTAGTCAGCTACCCTTTTTTTTTGGTTACACTTGCAGCTCTTCTAAGACATTTCTTCTTAGCTATGATTTTTGCTCGGTAGTTTTAGAATGGGTACATGTTTGACACTGCCATGATAATCACACATTAGATAAATCTCTCCATAATTCTGTAAGATACATACACATGTTGAATACATTTTTGCCTACATTTAGTTCTACTTAGGTGTGTTTAAAATGTGGTGATATGAATTTTGATGTTCCAGTACAAAAGTTTTTTTAACTTATCTTTTCAAATATAACAGAAACCCAAGTTAAGAACAGCAGTGAAGTATCTAATAGTAGAAATAATCAGACAGCTAATGTAACTGGCATTTCAGTTGTCTCTGACAACAAGAAATCAAATGGCACAGCTGGAGCTCTGATTGTTCAGCCAGAAAGAGAGACAAAACTAGCTGAAGTGCGCAGCTCAATTGCACAGCAGAAATTAACAACACAGGCAGAAGATGATGATGAAGATGAGGCTACAAATAAAAATCCGGATGTCAGCGGTGAAAAAGAGCACGATGGCAACAGAGCACAAGGAGAGAAAAAGAAGGAAAATGATCAGAAGCAAAATTAAGAAAGGATACATGAGGAGGCTGGTTAGTTTTTTTTTTTTTTTTTTTTTTGGTGAGCTATTTGTAGTTTTTTTTTTTTTTTTTAAACCTCCCTATGCTTTCTTTGCCTGCTATTTGATCTAACTTACCTTATTACTGCCATCATAACTTAGTGATAGTCAGGTGGCATAACTAACGTTGACCAGATCATTGTTGTAGTGGTAGCAGTAGGAGGGGGAATAGTGGAGCACTGAAATGTCTCATAAAAGTTTGAATTTGTAACTAACGTCAGATCACAGCGGACCACATTTTGAAATTTTTTTTAATGTATTCACTTGTTGTAAAGATGAATATTGAATTGAAATATGCATATAAATACTGGTGTATTTATCAACCCCTCTGTATGGATCAGGGAATAAAAACTATGAAAACAGTTAGTAGTACATTATCTATTAACTGCTGTCTGTATGGAATGTAGGGAATTAATTGTTATGACAGATCTTGTTAAGCTTTGGAAGAGGAGGTGAAACAAAATGTTCTAGTGAATAAAGAGGTGGAAAAAAAAAGACGCTGTCACTGGGTAGCATATATGTTGAGAAAATTGTGTGATAATATCTATAATCTTAGCACAGGAACCCTCAGGGCAAAAGAGACCTAAAAATACAAGAGGGTTTCGATGCTTCACCGTAGAGAGGAAAAAGAACAAACCCTCTGCCTCCCTGACAAGCAGTCCTAAGAGTGAACTTATTAGGGATGTTTCCTTTGAAGTTGGAGCGCATCTGCCTGAGAGGTGAGGCACCAACAGTCTGCATACAGATAAGGCACATCTGTAAAATGGATATGCACGCTAAACTAGGGTTCCATGAGGGGGTGAATAACCAGAACTTATGCCTGAGTTTACAACCGGAGAGCACGAAGAAGAAGACAAAGAGGAGAATTAGTAACAGGGTGTTTCAAGGATTTGTATCTGTCCTAATTATCTGTGGCTCGTCATTAGGCCAGTGACAGACACACTATCCAGCAACACACCAAGCCTAACACGTACAGAGCACACACATCAGACCTTTATTACAACAGTACGGTATTACAAAATAGCAGTTGACTTCCAAAAAAGTGAGCAGCTTTTCCAAAACTATTCTGGGAGAGCTTTACACCTCACCACTCCTGCCTATACATATTACCATGGATAAACACCTGGGTCCAAATTCACCTCACCTCGGATACACTCTTTCTACCATGTCATCTGACCCTGCACGAAGATTTGTGTGGCATCCGCAGCGTGGATGGCTGAGTGCTTGAGGATAGGCAATATCGCCACTGCCAAGCACAGCAAACTCTTAATTACCCAAATATTTCGGCAATTACTTACGTAGAACATTGTACCAACACAGCTTTCATGAAACACTATGTAACACATGAGAAATACTAACAGCTAAATAAATATGTTACTGCAATGCTAACAATATATTACTGCAATGCTAACAGTTGCTATCTTTTAATTTCTAACACAGAATAACCTAGAATGTCCCTCTATGTCTTCAGTCTAACATGTCTGTCCCCTGAGCTTCTACTTGCAACCCATTTTATTCCTTGAATCAGTTCATTTTTCCCATGTTGGGTAAACTACGTGTTTGTAGTACAGGAGCTCGCGCACTCCCAGGTTTTTTCCCATGTCGTAAATTCACTCACTTAGAAGTTTTGAATACGTCTTCGGCCCTTTATCCACCTTTTGAGTATTCAAAGGCTGACCCAGAGGTCATAGATACAAACATAGGACGTCACCAGTCTTATTGTCTTTACACCATCCTATACCCTCCCCGTAGGGCTATGAAAGAGTGAATAAATGCAGGAGGATATAAAGTGAACTACAGGAAAAAAATTAAAAAATTGGATGGTGGTGTGAGTTGGTTGACAGCCCTTGAATGCTCAAAAGGAGGATAAAGAGCCGAAGATGTATTCAAAACTTCTAAGTGAGTGGTATTTATGTAATCCTTTCAGTGAATGTTTTTATTCAAAAAATGTTTTCCCATAGTAAATTTGAATATTGTGGACACAAACAATACTTTGCACACTTTATTGCCAGTCAAATTTCGCTATCATTCTAAAACAATTGTTGACAAGGGACCAACCTACTGATGATCGGTAGCTCCTGCTGTGCATGCTCCCGCTGTGGAGTTCTTATTATTACTGTGTCTTATCAGGTGTATTACTGCAGAACTACATCAACATATAATGTAGCACAAAAGCTGAATAGATTCCACTGAAATGCAAATGGTCTCTCTCGATATTTGGTGTTAATCTAGTTGGCAGAAGTGAATTATTTGTGTCCGCATTATTTAAAATATTTTTGTGAATTTTTTTGTGTGTGGTGCCTGTAATGCATTTTACGCAAGCATTTCCTTATGTTACCACTGTAAATTGAACTAATATTACATCTAAAGTAACAAGTAGTAGAACGTTGTTTAATCTGCTACTGTGCTTTCTAAAATTGACTAGAAAATAGATTTTTGTGAACACTTTATTGTGCCCGTATACTAGCATTTGTTTGTGCTTAAGCAATACCTGATAGTCTTCATGTAGCAGGTACTACCGGGCAAACCATTGACCTATCATGTGGCTGATTTTGAATGAAGGAATATTGAATTTTTTATTTTTAAAAAATATATTTATTTTGTATTGGGAATGTAGGGCATAACCAGTTAAGAGGTGCATAAATGTGACAAGCTCTGTGAATTAGACTAGAGTATAACCAACATTGTTGTAGTGGATTGAGCACAATTTGGCAGTGACATGATTTGTAGAATAGAGTTTAACCAACATAGTGATAGTGGATTGATCAAGCAGTGACATGATTTGATGATTTGAAGTGTTGGGTGTCAACCAGCAGTGGAGGGGGTTAATTTCATAATCACTTTAATTTGGAAGGTAGAGTTTAACCAACATTGTGGTAGTGGACTGATCACACTGTGCCAGTGACACGGTTTAGAGTAAGTTTTACCAACATAGTGATATCAGTACCTGTCAGCCAACCAAAAATACCTGATTCACCAGACCCTAAATTGGCTGCCTTTTAGGGAATGCTTGTTAAGGAGCAGTTGGTCTGTTCTCCCCCCATCTCCCACTTCCCCTTCCTCAAAATGGGGCTCTAAAACAGATACGAGGATAAAGACTGATTCAAATGTTTGAATGTTTTCAGTTTGTCTTTTCTTTCACTAAACTTCATAGCTGGATTTTGTGTTGCTCTCTCATTTGTTGGCTGGTTTTTATTTTACAAAATAGTTTATGTTTGCCATTGGTTTCTAAATGTCTGAAGCGGTCGATGGTCATATCATTGTTATAATCAAGGCATAGTGGTCTGCTGTCAGTTTCCTGCAGCTGAATAAACCTGATATGTCAGAATTATGAAACTGTTCATAATCTGTAAGCCACATGCGCTGATTGTGTGCACATAAGGAGGTAATTGTTTTTTGTTTAAAATAGTAAACAAATGTCAGTTATACTTTCAGACATTAAGTGCTGTGTTGTGCAGCTTGTTACAATTTGAGACCAGATACTGTTTTTTTGTTTAAAATAGTAAACAAATGTCAGTAATACTTGCAGACAGCAAATGCTGTGTTGAGCAACTTGTTAAAATATAAGACCAGAATTGTTTGATAAAGTAGACCAAATATAAAAGATGCAGTATGCATTGGTTGATGCACATGGACAGTAGTTACTCACACATGGGGGCCTTGCTTGTGACCAGAAAGAGTTACAGCTGTCACATCAGTCTTTGTTCAAAAGCATCCCGAATCAATATTTTTATTTTAATGTTTTTATCCAGATAAAATCAGTGTTAGCTTGGTATTTGAGTGTTTGCTACAACTAAGCACAGTGCTGACATTGATTAGGCACATTAAGTATTCCAACAGTGCCAGCTGTCACACATATGTGTGTGTGTGTTTTTAATTATTGATTAATTCCTTTATACCTTATAGAAATTATTTAACTAGTCTTTCTCCTTGGTGCTGCAGACGTTAGGCTGTGTCTTCTCACTTAACCTCAACCGGGAGGCACATTGTTTCTCCTCTACCCAAAGTATTTCAGGATCCTTACTGGTGATACAGAGTTTGTGCACTGTGCTGAGATTCTTTGGACTCAGGCTAGAGTCAGAAGAAGATAGGAGCACTTATGGGCTACTACCCTTGTGCCATGATGTTGATCTGTCGTCTAAACCTAAACCATTCTGTAATGTATAAACTAAATGGAAATTGAAAGAGAGGCCAACCATGGACAGAGGGAATAAGAGTCACAGGGAACCCCATTTTAAGAAGCATGCAAATAGGCACTTTTCTGTTGTTGTTTTTTTTTTTTAAATATCACCTCAACGCTGCAGTGTACTAGATGACTAAGATCACATTATAGATAAAAAATTATAATCCAAAATTTCAGCACAGCTGTCACATCTGTCCTAATCTTAATCTGTGTATGGAAAACAGCAAAACTTGAGAGAGCCTCACCCAAATATGTTTATTAATAATCAATAGTTGGTGTTGGTTATTCGTCAGAATTGCCCAACTACCCAACTTACCAAGTTATCTACCTGGAAAAGCAAAATTTAAACCATAGTGGAAATGTTTAGTACAGCTCATTTTCTGTCCATTGTTCTCCCCCTTTATGGCAGAGTTGTTGATCAAGCAGTTAGAATACTGGTCTGTCACATCTAGAAGTAGAGGCTCACAACCTTATTAAGATGACCTTTGTTTATTATATGAGGGAAACTTTTAAAATCTAGTTTCTGCATAGTACTATGTGCTTGCCTGTGGAGGCAGTGTTCTTTGTTCAAACCCCCAGAAGTGGCAGGATTTCTTCCAACCAGCTTTGAAGATGACTCATCATCATCAAGAGTAATGCCAGCTTGCAAGATCAGTCATGCCTCTCTACAGCTTGTGGTCTCCAACAGCAT